CCATACACTACCCACCACTGTGACCTGTACGCTCTTGTTGGCTGGTCCTCACTACATGTCCGTCGTCAAACCCACTGGCTCCAGGCCATCTATAAATCACTGCTAGGCAAATCCCCGCCTTATCTTAGCTCATTGGTCACCATAGCAGCACCCACCCGTAGTCTGCGCTCCAGCAGGTATATCTCACTGGTCATTCCCAAAGCCAACACCTCCTTTGGCCGCCATTCCTTCCAGTTCTCTGCTGCCAATGACTGGAACGAATTGCAAAAATCTCTGAAGCTGGAGACTCTTATCTCCCTCAATAACTTTAAGCATCAGTTGTCAGAGCACCTTACCGATCACTGCACCTGTACACAGCCCATCTGAAATTAGCCCACCCAACTACCTCATCCCTATATTGTTATTTATTTTGCTCTTTTGCACCCCAGTATCTCTATTTGCACATAATCTCTTGCACATCTAGCATTCCAGTGTTAATACTATTGTAATTATTCTGCACTATAGCCTATTTATTGCCTTACCTCCATAACTTGCTACATTTGCACACACTGTATATATATTTTCTGTTGTATTTCTGACTTTATGTTTTTTTTACCCCATATGTAACTCTGTGTTGTTTTTATTGCACTACTTTGCTTTATCTTGGCCAGGTCGCAGTTGTAAATGAGAACCTGTTCTCAACTGGCTTACCTGGTTAAATAAAGGTGAAATAAAAATAAATAAAAAATAAATAAATACATAATTGTGGATTGATTTAAAAACCAAAAGAAGAATCTTAACATTAATTCTTAAACTCACCGGCAACCGGTGTAATGTGTGATCTTAGGAGAGCATTACTGTAGTCAATACTGATTGTAATGAAAGCATGGGTGAGGTTCTCTGTATCAGCCTGAGAGAGAAACGGACGCACAATGGCAATGTTCCTCAGGTGGTAAAAAGCTTTTTTGGTCACATTCCCAATGTGTGATTCGTATTTGTATTTGTATTTATTAAGGAACCCCATTAGCTGCTGCAACATTAAGGCAATTATATACAATTTAAAATATTACATGACATTACATTTCATAACACTCTACCCAATACATTTAGTGTGTTCCCTCAGGCCACTACTCTACGCATCACGTATCTACAACACAACATCCATGTGTATGTGTGTGTACAGTCTTATCTTATCTTTTTGTGTGTCTGTGCCTGTGTGTCTCTTCACAGTCCCCGCTGTTCCATAAGGTGTATTTTTATCTGCTTTTTAAATCTGATTCTACTGCTTGCATCAGTTACCTGATGTGGAATAGAGTTCCATGTAGCCATGGCTCTATGTAGTACTGTGCGCCTCCCATAGTCTGTCCTGGACTTGGGGACTGTGAAGAGACCTTTGGTGGCATGTCTTGTGGGGTATGCATGGGTGTCTGAGCTGTGTGCTAGTAGTTTAAACAGACACCTCAGTGCATTCAGCTTGTCAATACTTCTTACGAAAACAAGTAGTGATTAAGTAAATCTCTCTTCCACTTTGAGCCATGAGAGATTTACATGCATGTTATTAATGTTAGCTATCCGTGTACATTTAAGGGCCAGCCGTGCTGCCCTGTTCTGAGCCAATTGTAATTTACAGAGATCTCTCTTTGTGGCACCTGACCACACGACTGAACAGTAGTACAGGTGCGACAAAACTAGATACTGTAGGACCTGCCTTGTTGCTAGTGTTGTTAAAAAGGCGGAGGAGCACTTTATTATGGACAGACTTCTCCCAATCATAGCTACTGTTGTATCAACATGTTTTGACCATTACAGTTTACAATCCAGGGTTACTCCAAGCAGTTTAGTCACCTCAACTTGCTCAATTTCCACATTATTTATTACAAGATTTAGTTGAGGTTTAGGGTTTAGTGAATGATTTGTCCCAAATACTATGCTTTTAGTTTTTGAAATATTTAGGACTAACTTATTCCTTGCCATCCATTCTGAAACTGACTGCAGCTCTTTGTTAAGTGTTGCAGTGATTGCAATCGCTGTAGTAGCTGACGTGTATAGTGTTGAGTCATCCGCATACATAGACACACTGGCTTTACTCAAGGCCAGTGGCATGTCATTAGTAAAGATAGAAAAAAGTAAGGGGCCTAGTTATGTTGGAGAGGCTTCCATTAAAGAACACCATCTGTGTTCTGTTAGACAGGTAACTCTTTATCCACAATATAGCAGGAGGTGTAAAGCCATAACACATATGTTTTCCAGCAGCAGACTATGAGCGATAATGTCAAAAGCCGCACTAAAGCCTTAACAAAACAGCTCCCACAATCTTTGTATCATCAATTTCTCTCAGCCAATCATCAGTAATTTGTGTAAGTGCCGTATTTTTTGAATGTCCTTCCCTATAAGCATGCTGAAAGTCTGTTGTCAATTGAGTTCAGAATCTAAAATAACACCTAGGTTTTTTACCTGGTGTTTTATATTTATTGCCCGTTATTGAGCTTTGGCTCCAACTGTCATGATTTCTGCCGAGGCTGCCTCCCCTCCTTGTACGGGCAGGTTTCGGCGTTCGTCGTCACCGGCTTAATAGCCACTGCCACTCCATATATCATAATTCCATTTGTCTTGTCTTGTCAATTAAACACACCTGGTTCATATCCCCTCATTAGTCCGTGTATAAGTGTTCCCTCTGCCCGCTTTCCTTGTGGGTGATTGTTTTATGTGAGAGTAGTGTAGCTCGGTGGAGCTACTCGTACCTTGTATTGCCGGGGTAGATATTTCCCCTGTGACTGTATTTTGTTGTCGCTATCCAGCGCAACTGTGTACGACGGAATCAACTCTGTATTCAGTGATTTACCCTCCTGCGCCTGACTCCTTCTAATCACACTCATCACACCAACAATAAGTACCTCGGTCTTGTCTTGAGTTAGCTGGAGGAAGTTGTGAGCCATCCAAGTATTTAAATAACAAATATAGTCTAATAAATGTATCCGTGGAGCTAAAATCCTCTGGTTACACAGAAATGTAAAGTTGTGTATCGTCTGTAAAAAAAAAAAATCAATGCTGTGCTTTCTGATAACGCTGTTATGGGGTGACATATATCAACTGAACAGTACCGGAACCAAAATCGAATCTTGTGGAATGCCACATGTGATATGGATTTTCTCAGAGTTATGTTTACCAAGGTGACAAAAAACTCTCCACCGGTTAAATAGGTCATAAACCAATTTAGAAGTGGACATTGATACACCATGATCCATTGGCGGCTAAAGACATTAGCACATGGAACTCAGAGATAGCCTATAGGCCAATGCAGCAGTAGGCCTATAACTTCCATCGTCAACTAAGTAAAATACATAGGCCTAAGGCCAACAAATAAAAACAGTAGAAAATATCCTGATGAAAATGCAGGTTCTTTCAATCGCATTAATCTCTACTCCGCTTGTCTGCCTCCCTTTCTATTGGTCTTGACTTGAGCTATCACTAGTGAAGTGCAACATTATATCAACTCAGGAGGTTGGTGTGTTCAGCCACAGGTGCTCCCTCAACGTTATCAGCACAGAGAAACCACACATGCTCACTGCTCACAAAAAAATGTAAAGACACAAATGATGGCAGACACAATAGGAGTAGTTATAGCAATAGGAGTAGTTATAGCAAGTGCGTTGCTGTTGTCTCTACTAAATAACCTGGCAGTGTTCATTCCAGTCCTAACAAATAATGAATATGTGGTGGGAAAAAAAGTGCCTGGACTCTCCTGTAAGATAAACATGCTGGTGGGCCAAGGATGCTTCTTTGGCAACCCACAAAATGCTCTGTTTGTGGATGTGATTCTCACCTTGACAGCTATTAAAGAGATGGACAGTCACAATCCAACTGTACGTGTCAAGGCCGGAGCATTAACAGAGGCCCTGCTCAAGGTATGAGACAATCCTCACTGCCCAAATATTTCTGTGTATATTTGAGGAAACATCCCCTCTCTCCAAGTACCTACAAACCAGTGGCATGGACAACCTGACAGCAGGATGCTATTGGGAACACAAGAGGCTCTGCAAAATAATGTGAGGGACTTCGATGCTGTGAAGAGGGCAACAGAGAGCTTTGTGCAGTGGGCCACTGACAACCTGCAAGAACAGGATGAAGACCCCAAACAGGAAGTGCAAGCTGAGATGCCTCAGAAACGAACAAGGAAAGGAAGCCCTTGCCCGGGGAGTTGGCTCAGGATGAGACTGAGAGAGATGCAGAGAGGGTCTACAAGAATAAGGTGCACTTTGTCATCATGGATACAGTCACTGATAGCATCTATCAGCGCTTTCTGACACAAGGCACTTGTACACAGACTTTGCTTATCTGGACCCCAGCAGGTTCTCAGAGATAAAATATAATGGATTGCCCCAGACATCACTTGCTAAACTAAGCAAACTTGCAGCCGAGCAGCTGTCAGCACTTTGCAGTGTGAGTTGACCAGTCAGTGGGAGAGCGTGAAAACATCAGCAGTGGAGAAGGACACAACCAGGAATGTGAGTGAGATACCAGCGGATGGACATGATGAAGAACAAGTGGAGAGGATGAATAAAAGTTGTTCAACATGTAAGAACTGTTCTGTATGTTGTTATCAACTTCTATGGTGGTACATCTTGTTGACAGAGGCTTACCATGTTATAGGCCTGGGATACAAGTTCCTACTCACCCTGTCTGTCATCCAGGTAACCTGTGAGAGGAGCTTTTCTACTCTCAAATTCATAAAACATCGACTTAGGAGCACCTGATCCTACGATCACTTGGAGGCATTATGCTGATGACAACTGAAAAGGAAATCCTTATGGTCCTGGATACAGATGATGTCATTGACAGGGTGGCAGAGAAGAACTGCTGTGATGCCAGCTGACAAAAGGGTAGGGAGGACAGAGAGACAGCAGAGGAGAAGAAGAAGAAACAGAGACAGACAGTCAGACAGACAGACAGACAGACAGACAGAGTGACAGAGTGACAGACAGCAGAGGAGAATCACAGACAGAGAGCCAGTGACAGCAGAGATGCATAGAAAGACAGCACAACAGGGAGAAAACAGACTCAGAGGCCCAGTTATAGTGGTGAGTTGTATCTCCAGACTCCAGTGGTGTTTTAACATGTTGTATTTGTTTCAAATATTAGCTTGTTAAAAAGAGCTGCTTAAAAAAGGAGGAAGACCATGTTCCTTCAGTCACTGGTACAGTAAAGGTTGGGAAACTCTGTACTATAGTGTACTGCTTATGTTATACGCAGCAGGTTAGGAGAGTTAGGTTAAGGTTAGGAAAAGGGTTAGGGTTAGCAAAAATGCTCTCCTAACCTGCTACAATAATCACTTCCGGTAATAGTTGTGGCATAGATGGCAGCATTCTCTAATAACTACTTGCCAATTTCTGTTTCATACTTCTCAAAGTTGATAACTAGCTTATTACAGTTTTTTTTCAGTGATTCAATTCAGAAAGATATCATAATTTGCTAATTGAAAGGATTATATTTACATGTACTAAAATACATTAAGTCTACAGGTCAGTTTATCTCGATACTTCAAAACTCCTAAGAACTTCATCAATCCAGTGTGTGGGTCTTCCAGTGAGTTGGAGAGGTTTGAGGAACCATGGAACAGTTTGAAAGCTTGATATGGACTGTAAGTGAAACATTTCTGATTTGCACATTTTGTGGCTTGGCATCTTTTTACTAGCCTTATATGCCGCGAAACCGAATGTAAACTTGCGAGATCAGGATGGTTTGTATGAGGCTCTCTTTTCACGCAACAGAAATTCCTGGCACCAAACAGTATGCTCAATTCACAGTATGCTCAATTCACAGCATGCTCAATTCACAGCATGCTCAATTCACAGTATGCTCAATTCACAGTATGCTCAATTCACAGTATGCTCAATTCACAGTATGCTCAATTCACAGTATGCTCAATTCACAGTATGCTCAATTCACTGTATGCTCAATTCACTGTATGCTCAATTCACAGTATGCTCAATTCACAGTATGCTCAATTCACAGTATGCTCAATTCACAGTATGCTCAATTCACAGTATGCTCAATTCACAGCATGCTCAATTCACAGTATGCTCAATTCCCATCATGCTCAATTCACAGTATGCTCAATTCACAGTATGCTCAATTCACAGTATGCTCAATTCACAGTACGCCACCACATTTACAAAAGCCAGTTTAAAATGGTCCTACATAATTACATTATATTTGAATTGTGGATATTTGTTAGAATTTTCCTAACTAGTTCTGTATGTTTTATGAATACACATCAGTTTCAATTTGAGTGATTAGTGTATATTTTCTCTACTTCCAGATACCTATTATATTGGTGCTTGTAAGCATCGGATCCTGTATTGCATGTGGTAGAGCCGAGTACAGAATAGGGGATGAATGTTGTCCCATGTGTTCACAAGGTAAGGACCGTCTCTTTACATCATATGAATCACCAGACATTAATACATCATCAACACCAACAGAAAAACATGACATTGTGATTCTCTCTTCTGCAGGAAATCGTGTATATAAGCATTGTACTGAATTCACCAGCACCAGCTGTGTGCCCTGTGTTGATTCTACATTCCTTGATGAGCCCAATGGTCTCATAAAATGCAAAGTGTGTACCAACTGTGATCCAGGTAAGAGTGGTCCTGTGTGTCTGCACTGAAACCCTGACACAAACACTGACATGTTAGTCTATGCTGTTGTGCTATGAGGATATGTCAGTTGTATGAATGAAATGTGTCTCATATTTTGCATCAGATATAACACACAATGTTTTCTCAATAGGTTTGGGTTTGAAGGTAAAGCAGCGATGTAGACCTTCATCAGACACTGTCTGTGGGACACTGGAGGGGTTCTACTGTCTAGACCCAACTAAGGATGGTTGTAGAGCAGCCCAGAGACACAGCAGCTGTAAACCTGGTCAATACATCAGCCACACAGGTTGGTCTTGTGTCTCACTCGTTATACTAATTGTGTTGTCATAATTCAATTGAGTCAAGTTGTTAACTTCAGTGTGAATAATCATTACAGTTAATGGAATTAAATAAAAATGAATTTTTAATTTATATTTCAACATGTATTTGTGTATTTGTGCAGGAACAACATCTACAGATACTGTGTGTGCTGACTGCCCTAGTAAAACTTATTCAGATGGATCATTAACATCTTGTCAACCACACACAGAGTAAGCGTGGACATTATTAGTTAGTTTAAATGGTTATTCCCCTGAAGATATATAAATACAATCATTATTATCCTCAAATAGAATCTTTAAAAAACTATATTTATGTTTTTGACATAGATGTGAATTCTTGGAAATTGAACCAGGAACTCCTTGGTCGGATTCAGAATGCGGAGTAACCTCACTTCCCACAGCTGGAATAATAGCTGGTGTTCTGATATGTTTCCTGATAGCCACCATAGCTGGTGTTTGTTTATTTATAGTGAGAACAAGAGAGATGGTGAGAACAAGACAAAACTTAGGTAAGATGACTTTTGGAATTTTATCTGTGCCATTCATTGTTTTCATTGCCTGTGATACTCAGCATACTCTTTGAATGCTATATTTTCTATTTCTCATATAGTGTAGATTATTACTGTTTGTTAACGTCATGGTTACACGGTATGTTTATTACAATACTGGACATCTGACTTTTTTATAGACCCTCAAATACTGACACAGGTATGTTTGGAAATCTATGAATATCTTTCATCACATTGTATTACTAAGTGATCTCTTCTGGCTGTGAAATTTGAATTTAATGGGCCAGTTTCCCAGGCATAGGTTACGCCTAGCATTGGACTAAAAAGCACTTAAAATAGAGAATCTCCAATGTACGTGCTTCTTAGTACAGGGCTTAATCTCTGTCCGGGAAACCGGCCCAATGTGGTTTACTAATTACGGATTCTATCTGATAGACATCCCCAGATCAGGATATACCAATGCTGTCTGAGGGAACTGGAAAAGGTAAGGCACACCTTCAAGGTTTTCTAAATATGTGTACAGAATAGTTTTTATGAGTTAAAAGAATTTCAAACATATTTATAAGTAAATGTACAGTGCCTTGCAAAAGTATTCATCCCCCTTGGCTTTTTTCCTATTTTGTTGCATTACAACCTGTAATTTAAATGGATTTTTATTTGGATTTCATGTAATGGACATACACAAAATAGTCCAAATTGGTGAAGTGAAATTTTATAAAAATGAAGCCCCTAAATATGCTATGAAGCCCCTAAATAAGATCTGGTGCAACCAATTACCTTCAGGAATCACATAATGAGTTAAATAAAGTCCACCTGTGTGCAATCTAAGTGTCACATGATCTGTCACATGATCTCAGTATATATACACCTGTTCTGAAAGGCCCCAGTGTCTGCGACACCACTAAGCAAGGGGCACCACCATGCAAGCGGCACCACGAAGACCAAGGAGCTCTCCAAACAGGTCAGGGACAAAGTTGTGGAGAAGTACAGATCAGGGTTGGGTTATAAAAAATATCCGAAACTTTGAACATCCCACGGAGCACCATTAAATCCATTATAAAAAAATGGAAAGAATATGGCACCACAACAAACCTGCCAAGAGAGGGCCGCCCACCAAAACTCACGGACCAGGCAAGGAGGGCATTAATCAGAGAGGCAACAAAGAGACCAAAGATAACCCTGAAGGAGCTGCAAAGCTCCACAGCGGAGATTGGGGTATCTGTCCATAGGACCACTTTAAGCCATACACTCCACAGAGCTGGGCTTTACGGAAGAGTGGCCAGAAAAAAAGCCATTACTTAAAGAACAAAATAAGCAAACACGTTTGGTGTTCGCCAAAAGGCATGTGGGAGACTCCCCAAACATATGGAAGAAGGTACTCTGGTCAGATGAGACTAAAATTGAGCTTTTTGGCCATCAAGGAAAACGCTATGTCGTGGCGGCATCATGCTGTGGGGATGTTTTTCATCGGCAGGGACTGGGAAACTGGTCAGAATTGAAGGAATGATGGATGGCGCTAAATACAGGGAAATTCTTGAGGGAAACCTGTTTCAGTCTTCCAGAGATTTGAGACTGGGACGGAGGTTCACCTTCCAGCAGGACAATGACCCTAAGCATACTGCTAAAGCAACACTTGAGTGGTTTAAGGGGAAACATTTAAATGTCTTGGAATGGCCTATTCAAAGCCCAGACCTCAATCCAATTGAGAATCTGTGGTATGACTTAAAGATTGCTGTACACCAGCGGAACCCATCCAACTTGAAGGAGCTGGAGCAGTTTTGCCTTGAAGAATGGGCAAAAATCCCAGTGGCTAGATGTGCCAAGCTTATAGAGACATACCCCAAGAGACTTGCAGCTGTAATTGCTGCAAAAGGTGGCGCTACAAAGTATTGACTTTGGGGGGGTGAACAGTTATGCACGCTCATGTTTTCTGTTTTTTTTTCTAATTTCTTGTTTGTTTCAAAATAAAAAATATGTTGCATCTTCAAAGTGGTAGGCATGGTGTGTAAATCAAATGATACAAACCCCCCAAAAATCTATTTTAATTCCAGGTTGTAAGGCAACAAAATAGGAAAAATGCCAAGGGGGGTGAATACTTTCGCAAGCCACTGTATATGATATATTACTTCATCAAGGCATCAATGCTAAGACAAATTATATGATCCAAGAATATAGGACTATGGATACAAGCAAATGTACTACAAATCATTGTCCAGAATGTAAATGAATTACTGATAAATTCCAAGTTACTTCTCTCCCCAGATTCAAGCACCCATCACAGTCAGGGACTCAACATTCTGTAATATGTGGTCCGCTGGCTGGTCCAGCCATCTATAGTGGGTCGTAACACTACATGTTAAATGTGATATTGTAGAATCTGGTTGATATAAAAACAGGATTCTACAGCACATTATATTGTAGTGTAAAGAAATGAAACCTCCAGTAGGAAGAATATGACCTCTGGGTAGAGGATCACATTGACAATGACTATTATGTGGCTTAGTGTATGAATCATATACATTAGCTTCCACCCACACTGGAACACGTGTATCAGCTTCTGCCTACAGCCTGTTCTAAAATGAAAAGGACCATGTGATGAGTATTAGGAACCAGCATCGGTAGGTAAGAACCCTCTGCTCTGCCCAGGGGAAAGTCAAACGTGTGCATAACTTCAGGACCACAACGTCTGTCAGACCATACTATGGAACTCCAAATGGGACTTGATAATATCTTGAGACAGAGATTACTGGATACTGGTGCAGGATGCAGTGTTCGCTTGGGGAAGGCGCCCCCAGAAATTAGAAACAGCGTCAAAAGGATCGGAATGTTAATTCAAATTGATAACTTTAAACTACAAGAACATCAACATCACACTCATAGAAGCAGACAAGGACATCAACATCACGCTCATAGAAGCAGACAAAGACATCAACATCACGCTCATAGAAGCAGACAAGGACATCAACATCACACTCATAGAAGCAGACAAGGACATCAACATCACGCTCATAGAAGCAGACAAGGACATCAACAAGCAGATACAACCTCACTATGGACTGTATGGATCACAGAAGCATTGAAAAGACAACATTTCGGAACTATCCTGAACTGCTTCCCCTCCTATCTCACATATAGGTGAGAATAAGTATTGTAGAAGAGTGCAGGTCCACTCAGTCACCTGTGGTGTCCCCCATCCTGGTCATCCTCTCCGTACTTCCTCTCAGTTATGTTAATCAGGTGACTTAGGGTCCTCTGCCACAGTTTTTCGGATGACATGCATGTCTACATCAAAAACGGCCCCAAATCCCTCAAAGTACAGGCTTGGTTGAAGCTCAACATTCTACATGTGAGCAGAAGCCAAACTGAAGCCATACCAAGTTGGCACAATGTTTTATTATTTTATTTAGATTTGTTTGCAATGGGGCAGAGAGAAAACATTTATGTTTTATAGCTAATCATGTTATTCTACACATTTTGCCATGAGGCTGAGACAACATTTAGCAGTTTTAATGCTAATTTCCTGTAAAATGTTTATAAAATATCATGGCAAATGACGTGTTCATATGCTATCTGGGGGTCCTGACTGGGGGGACCCTAAACAAAAAATACAAAATATACTGTATACTGTGTATATAAATATTATTAAATTTTCTGTTCGGGCCCCAAATAATTTGTGGAGATTACAACCCCACCTTGTGGGGGCTGCTGGGGTGTGTGCTGCGCCAGTGATCCACAGCCTGATTAGCCAGGAATATTCCAGAATGCACTATATTATATCTGGTCCAAACAGCTATAAAGTGCCTTTCTGTATGCTGTCCTCGCTCTGTTCTGGACTGATGATGTAAAAAGGGCTTTAAAAATATATATTTATTAGGCTTTATAAATAAATGTCATTGATTAATGTCCCTTCTTTATTTTATATACCCATAGCTAGAGTCTTGCGTTATCACAAGAGGCCGATACAGCGCCTTCTCACATAATGTGTGAAACAATTGTGACGTAATCATCTAAAGTAATTACCCAATGTGTCCAAAATAAGTTCCCAACCATGTTGATTGAATTCAAATGAAATGTCTGCCGACACTCACAGCATCGTTCTCATCAGCAGGCTACACTAGGACCGGGCACAACCTCTAGCCGCATAGGCCTATGAAGGGGTTTAACTTCTTGCTGTCAGCATCTTACAGTCAATGAAACACCCAAGCTGTCTGGTTCTGTGAAAAGAGGACACTCGACCTAGAAGCCGCTTACTTCTCCTTTATGATATGTTAAATGTCAGAAGATGATATTGTTTAGTTTCTGTATGAGAAGTCAAGTATCGGTCAAGCCCATGTTTTTTGAAGCTAAAAAATACTGACAAGATGATTGGCGCTGTCAGGGATAGGTAGATGTATTAAGCTGTTGTTGTTAGGGGAAGTCACGCTGGGAAGGGTTGGGGAGGCTTTAAGCTGTTGTTGTTAGGGGAAGTCACGCTGGGAAGGGTTGGGGAGGCTTTAAGCTGTTGTTGTTAGGGGAAGTCACGCTGGGAAGGGTTGGGGAGGCTTTAAGCTGTTGTTGTTAGGGGAAGTCACGCTGGGAAGGGTTGGGGAGGCTTTAAGCTGTTGTTGTTAGGGGAAGTCACGCTGGGAAGGGTTGGGGAGGCTTTAAGCTGTTGTTGTTAGGGGAAGTCACGCTGGGAAGGGTTGGGGGAGGCTTTAAGCTGTTGTTGTTAGGGGAAGTCACGCTGGGAAGGGTTGGGGAGGCTTTAAGCTGTTGTTGTTAGGGGAAGTCACGCTGGGAAGGGTTGGGGAGGCTTTATAAGTTACAGGATGTCTTAGACACCTTGCAGAACTTGGGGAGAGCTATCAATATTGTACTCTGTACTAACTTCTGCCTGCAATTGCATTAACTAAAGAATAATCTGAATACTTTGACGAAGAGTCTGTGTTTCCTTCTTACCACCACATATTGATTTGAGCATCATTACACCTGATCATCAGTTGAAGAATTTGAGCCAACACTTACAATGTTTTATCAAAAAAAAAACATCATAAAAATAATGAATTGATTGTGTTAAATACACAGTATATATTTTTTCCAACATGAGGCATTAATAAGTTAGATTTAAGCAATAAGGCCCGAGAGGGTGTGGTATATGGCCAATATACCATGGCTAAGGACTGTTCATATGCACGACGCGTATGGACACAGCCCTTAGCCATGGTATATTGGCCATATACCACAAACCCACGAGGTGCCTTATTGCTATTATAAACTGGTTACCAACATAATTAGAGCAGTAAAAATAAATGTTTTGTCATACCCGTGGTATACCACGGCTGCCAGCCAATCAGCATCCATGGCTCGAACCACCCAGTTTATAATTTTCAATAATCAATGTGTATATATAATGAATTTATAAGTCCAAAAATGGATATAGCAACTGCCAATTGCCCCTTTAAGATATCAATGGCAAACAAACTTTAAATTGTATGAAAATCTGTTGATATAGGCCTACCTCCTTGGGAAGAATATGCAACTGCACTGACTATTGGATGTATAGCCTACCTGTCCTCAAAATATGAAGTTATCACATTTACTGTGTCCCAGTTAAACTGAAGAGGCTAGTTGACTAGAGGAGAAATTTAACAGCTGGTTACAAAGAGATAAATATGTTTCAGGCAGCATGTTTGTCCATCAGTCTTTATCAGTTGGCTTTACTACATAACTACAGGATTCGCTACAATCTTTTGTATCCCCAACTGTTTACAGAAATATGAGGTAGGCCATAAGATTCACTAGAGCTTATGCTGTGACTTCAAAATCACCAAATGACCAGTCAAGATGTCAACATTATCTAGCAAGTTCTTTACAGAATAAAAGTGGGATAACCAAAGTTTTACACTGTGCAATACTCCCAATTGGAATAATATACATTTTATTTAGAGGGGAATGTTGTCTAATGTTGAGGGATTTGAACAAAGACTGGCTCAGTTTTACAGACAAATTTGTCCTGAAAATTAATACGACAAAAAGTATTTTGATTATTTTTTAAATATGAACTACTAAATGTTTATCGAATGGATTTACATCTTGAAGATTAAATATAATACTGTAAGATGTTAAATTAAATGCGGTTTTGCTAAACAATGTACACTTGCTGTGTTTATTATTTGAAATGCATGGAGGACATCTACAAAACCAAAACTGTCAGTATTTCATTCAATGTTGTCATGCCCACTGTTCATTGGTAAATGCTTCTATTAGCATGGGAAATTACCATATTTATTATTTTAGTAAATATTGCACATTTAGAGCAGTACTGAACTGTAAATTAAAGCACCACTATTACACCAGACTGCTACAACATTATTGACCTCATGACCTCCTGAATGTCACTATTCTATGAATCCAAGTAAGAGGGTTATTAACCCAGTCTCATTCTGCAAAAGCATTTTAATTTCATACAATGTGCACTAATAACAATACATGACTGCCCTCTAGAGGTTACTGCAAACGAAATCAGTGGTAAATAACAAGGCAGGAAGCATGTGAAAGACAAACGTTTAGAATGGCCTGGAGGACAGGAGAGGATAACTTTTGCACATGTTGTAGCTTGGCATGTTTCACACAGCATAAATTCCTGGCACTACACAGTATGCTGAATGTTTACACACCAGGGGGCGCCACCCAGTGGCGATTTTAGCATGTAAATCTTGGTGGGGGAAACTCAAAAACAATTTTTAGATGCATGCCAGCAAAGCCACTACACAACACAACACTAAACAATACATTAATTTCACTATAACGGTGATAAACGGTGCCCCCAAACTGTTAGGGTCTACATAAAGCTGTCCCGACAGCAGAGCTTTCCTTGGAGCTTTCCTTTCAGCACCATGGAGTGAATCCTTACCAACACTACACCTGGCTATCAGCGGAGCCTTGTCTGGCAGTGAAGCAGTTAATTCAGCCTCATTTACTGACTTTTTAAAAGATATGGCTGACTTGCTTAAACAGATGTGGTTTCTACTGACTTTCTACTGGATTTGGGTAAGTCGATAAGAGCCTCATTGTTCTTCAATAATAACGGATGCCAACATAAGTTTTGACTTTTGAACCATACACCAACATTACATTTATGTTCAGTAAATTCATAATGGTTGTTCTTATATCATTGACACTTAGCTCTAAGTATAAGCAAGTGCAAGCAAACGAGTTGTGACGAGGTAGGCCTATTCATTCAGCACTTTCAAAATGGCCACCGACTGAAATTCAAATAGATTCAGATAGAGGGAGAGAGAGAGAGATGTGAGCAGTGGCGGCTCCTGAAAAAAATCTCAGGGGGGGCAATTTTTCTGATGATTTAGGTGACCTACACACATTTTAAAAAAGATATGTCCAGCAACAACATGAAGACAGGGGCAGCATATAAGTCAATACCAGAAGCATTTATTGACTGATCTCAAAAGTGTTGGCTTACCAGGGTTGGTGGAGCCCTCAGTTTCATCTTTGCCTCGCAAAGCTAACTCAAACACTCCGCAAAACTTCACACACTGGATTAGCCGGCTGAGGATGTGGCGGTTCTTGCTAATGTCGTAGTAAATATATTTGTTATAGTGAATATGGAATATGATATGTTGAGTAAAATGTTGTGCTAAGATCTATTTAGGTCAGGAGCTGGTTATAAGTTCTGTTCCTATCCAATAACAATGGACAAAAGGGTCCTATCTTGTCAGCCTTGTCAGCAGGTGGCCAAGGACAACACCCACGCCATAGGCCTCTCAGTTCTTCCAACTCACGAGTTCTTGCTCTGAGGACACACACACACACACACACAAACACACACACACACACATCATCACTGTTAAACACACACACACACACACACACACACACACACACACACACACATCATCACTGTTAAACACACACACACACACACACACAGAAAAATCCCCTCTCTTAGGCTGAACATTTGAAGACAGAGAACCCGACTCAGAGCCAATGCAACAGTGACACTAGCCTGGAGGGGACCTCGCCCAACTCATCAGGACCAATCAGAAGATCAGAACTACTAGATTCAACCTACTTCATTTATACACAATGTTTCGGGGCTCTCTTCAGATAGCTCCCTAAGAGTTTGACGAACGGGTCCGTGCACGCGATTCCAGATATCTTTACCTCTGAATAAACTGCCTTTATTATACCATATCCACCCTGTCCAAAGTCTCTACTTGGTCTCAGTTCTCCAGTAAACTTGTGATTATCAACACTAACCTCATCGTTGTGGCGGCGGACAGCTAGCCTGTATCCCTCATCCAGTTGAGTGGCAATGTTCACTCTCCCCAAAGCAGACAATCTCAAACAGCTATCCATGTGGGTCTTTGACAGCTCATGTTTCTTAATCTTTCCTGAAAGATGGTGCATGTCCGTTACACACCAGTCGCTGTCCAAGCGGTGCTGTCTGCCGTGCCGCCTTCAGGGTGAAAGAGTAAGCAGGGGGTAGCAGAAGACTGCATTAGCTACATCGCAGCCTGCTAGCCAGGTTTTTCGTTCGTACCAATTTTTGGAAAATCCTCGGGTGTAGGACTTTCCGCCTTTAGTAGAAACCTGTTGAATTATTAAATTTGGTCTGGGAGGTCCTAATTGTTTCGTTGCCAATTTATCTTGATTTGTTCGCCGACAAAAAGTAACTTATTTCAAAGAGACAATCGAGTTGCACTGAACGCTATAGCCATCTTGATAGTAGTACGTGAATTGATTGACGCTGCTACCCGCTCTTTTCTTAGTTACGTTCATGGTTATGTTACGTATGACGAAAGCGCGTAAGTGCAAGCCCTCAGAAACCCATAGAGATTGTATTGAAAGCTCTGATATTTGAAAAAAATAGATTTTACATGGGAGTCTATGAGAGACTTCTGGGCGATTTTCAACCTGACTGAAATCGCCCCAAAAGGGGGGGGGGGGCATTTGAAGCACGACTTTAGCCTGATTGGACATTTAGTGGCAGATCAGACGTCTAGATTAGAACACTGATAACTACTGTTGCCGTGATATAATTGATTAGAAAAGAAATCCCTTCCTTTTCCCGTTTGGCAGTGCGTCGCCCATATCGCCCTAATGAACACACCGCCCCTGGATGTGAGGATCCATTTTTATAGACAATATACCGACACACAGACAGCGCATTGCGCAAACAAAACAACTCTCGCAATATCAACTGGAATTATATGGGTCTATTACTGAATGTTTTGTTGAAAACAAATATTTGAATGGGAAGAGACCGTCAATGGCAAACATGGTTACAGACCCAACAACATTATATAATATCCCCTCCTCATGAAGAAAAGCACATGATATAATTTATGCAGCAGCATACAATACATTTTTGAACTCACCGTTGTTGTGCTGTGCTCACTTGAACAGGAAGGTGGCGCAGCGGTCCTTCTTGTGGGCAAATGTTGTCATCAAAGGTGCTTTCAAGACAACTGGGAACTCTGAAAAAAAACAAGGTTGAATCATGATGTCAGTGATCTTCATGTCAGAGCTCTAGAAAGAGGCCCGAGTTCCCGGCTTGGAATTCCGAGTTGGATGACCGATAAAAACTGCATTTTCCCAGTCGGAGCTAGTTTTTTTCCGAGTTCCTAGTGGTCTTGAACTCACTGAAGTCTGAGATTTACCAGTTCCAAGTTTCCAGTTGTTTTGAACACGGCAGAAGTCATGCTGGATTGACAAGTCATGCTGGATTGACAGCATGGCCAATGCGTTCAACCTTTACTGCCCCATGGTGTTGCGAGTGAATGTTTATCCTTTTAATCTTGGAAAAGAGACCATTTCAGACAAACGTTTGAAATCCTTAAACCCAGACTTGGACCACACACCCTCCCCATCGAATAGCAGGCAGAGGGAAGCAAAATAGTTATTGCTTTGCAAAATGTGCAGTTAGCCACGGATTCCTTCCAAACCACTCATTGATGAATTTCCAACTTGTTGTGTAATGTTTATGTCCAATGGCCGATGAACACCAATACCTTTTATCTATAATTTATATGACAAGGATTGAAAAGGATTTGCCAGTAGATTGTTGACGGGATTCATGATGATGACTGCTTGTCTAGCTTGCTAGCTAAGATTTTGAAAGTAACATGTCCAATCAAAGCTACGGTAGATATAAGTGATTTTACGTAATTTTATATGTGGCCAATGACCTTGAGCCTTCTTGGATGGGCACTCTAATGTAAATCTATGGCAGCACCCAAGGGGGCTTGAACTGCCTAGCTCTCCCTGTAGATTCTGCGGTGACATTTTGTCCCAATGAGTGACAGAACATTGAGCCAATCATGGTGCAACTAGAGAAGATTACCAACACCTACACTCTGTATATTCCGCTGGCTGCCCCTCCACCACAGAAAGCACTGAGCTAGACTGAAACACCTGCATTTTGGAGCTGCCTTACTCAAGAAAGAGAGCATGTTTGTATGCTGCTTTATTAACTCAATATATTTTTTTTTACATTGTTTGCAAACGGATACGTGACATGAATTGATGCCAAAATAACATGCAAAACAGGCAAACCCCCCCGACACCCCCCCACACCTGTTTTGGGGCTCAAAACAGGTCCTACTGCCTGTATAAAATGGTCCTACATAATTACATTTATTTGAAATGAGAATATTTTTGTTTGAATTGTGCTAACTAGTTCTGTAAGTTATATACATCCACATCAGTTTTGAATTTGGGAATTTGTTAACATTTTCTCTACTTCCAGGTACCTATTATATTGGTGCTTGGAAGCATTGGATCCTGTATTGCATGTGGTAGAGCCGAGTACAGAATAGGGGATGAATGTTGTCCCATGTGTTCACCAGGTAAAGACCCTCTCTTTACATCATCATCATAGGTTAATAATTGATCAACACCAATAGAAATTCCATACATTGTGATTCTCTCTTCTGCAGGAAATCGTGTATATGAGCATTGTACTGAATTCACCAGCACCAGCTGTGTGCCCTGTGTTGATTCTACATTCCTTGATGAGCCCAATGGTCTCATGAAATGTGCACCATGTTCCAGCTGTGATTCAGGTGAGAGTTGTCCTGTATTTATACAATAGCCAGACTTTAATACTGAGGTAATGTGCTACAGGCTATATCAGATGTGATTTATGATTGACATTTGACTGGCTTAATATGTTTTCTTAAGATAATGAATGCAATGTGTTCTTCATAGGTTTGGGTTTGAGGGTAAAACAGCCATGCAAACCAGAATCAGATGATTTTTGCGGGCCACTGGAGCGGTTCTTTTGTCTGCTCTCTGACAAAGATGGTTGTAGAATAGCCCAGAAACACAGCAGCTGTAAACCTGGTCAATACATCCGTCACACAGGTTGGTCTCCTCTCAAGTATTCAACATGATTTTGTCATGATTTCTAGTGTGCCAAGTTACTCTACTGAATTAAAAGTAGCTGATCGTTTGATTGATTGATTGAAATCATTAGAGAATTAAAAATAAATCAAGAAGAGTACATGGGGAAAGTTTAAGTACGATGTTTACAAGTTTGTTTTGGGATGTCTTGTTTTTTAATAATGTAAACGTATGTTTAAACCTCCATTTGTGCAGGAACAACATCTACAGATACTGTGTGTTCTGACTGTACTGGTGATACTTATTCAGATGGATCATTAACAGCCTGCCAGTCACACACAGAGTAAGTGTGGCTTACACAAATAGTTTTTACCCTAAATACAAAGTTACCTAACACACATCTAAAACTGAAAGATGTATGACCAAGTTATAAATGAATCATTAATGGCCAGTATTTATCTGTTTATAGATGTGAATCCTTGGGACTTCAGGAAATGAAACCAGGATCCCCTTGGTCGGATTCAGAGTGTGGACCACAACTATCCCATTCAACAGCTAGAAGCAGTGCTGTGGCATCCATGACAGTGATATTAGCTGGAGCTGTTTACATTTTAGTCATTTAGCAGACACTCTTATCCAGAGTGACTTACAGTAGTGAGTGCATACATTTTCATTAATACTGGTCCCCCATGGGAATTGAACCAACAACCTTGGCATTGCAAACACCATGCGCTACCAACTGAGCTACACTGGACATAGTTTTAATAATAGTGAAAAAAAGAAAAAACTCAGATTCATTTTAGGAATTGTATCTGTTTCTATTGCATCTGTAAATTATTGTTAAGTGTGTGTATGAATTCTTTTTTAGTGTTTGTGTGTGTGCGTACGTGTGTGAGAGTGAGTGAGTGAGTCAGAGAGAGGACCACTGGGCGGCAGGTAGCCTAGCGGTTAACAGCGTTAGGCCAGTAACTGAAAGGTCGCCCGTTTGAATGCCTCAGCCGACTAGCTGACTAAGGTTGCTGTTTGGAATCCCTAAGCAGACTAGGTGGAAGAAAAAAAATTATGTTGATCTGCCCTTCAGCAAGGCACTTAACCCTAAGAGCTTCTGCTAAATTATTTAAATGTACATTTTCTTCATGAAACAGAAACTGAACTGGGAACAAAAGTGATGTCTAGTCTTCTGGAACATAACTGTTATTTACAAATCTTGAAAACCGGTTTATATAATGTTATTTTAAGTTCCAAAAATATTCCTAATGTCTTGTATATAATTATGTAATTCAGTGAAGTTCTGATGCTAGTAATAGCCTAAACACATTCCAATTCACACCATGATGTTCAGTGCTTCAAGCCATGCGCCCTCCATGTCCACCCTCCACTCTCGCTCTCTCCCCACCCGTAAAATGTCAGTCGCATCTCGCAGCCTGCACTAATCTGGGAGCTGAGTTTGAAAGTGTACCATTGAAAACGTGCAATATCATAAATGATCACCATCCACTGTACTCAGATGAAGTGTCTGGAGAACTGGAGCGTGAAGATATCCACAGCACCGTGGATAAAATGAATTGCAAGCACTTCCACTTGAATTTGGACTAATCCAATGTGGATTTATCAGGAGTTGGCTGTATTCAGCCAACGTTACTGGGATCTGTGATCTTGATTCACCTGTTATTTAAAAATCAAATGTGATATGAACAGTCTTTACTTGTGCCTTTTAACAAAACTGGTTTGATGATTGCTTGAATTAAAATTCTATGTAAATTCTATTTAAATGATCTGATACATTTTACATGACTTGTTGTTTTTCTGTACAGTAATTTGTATTGGCACAAAACACTTGTACATTTGTTAATATTGTGAAAATAATCAACATACATTCAGCAAGTGTACCTTATTTTGTAAAAAAAAAAAAAGTTTGCTAAATAAAACAAAATACCTAGGCCACTAGTGAATTGATTCCAGTAGTAGCCTAAATTAATTGACATGTCATTCCACAAGATGGCGGACAAGTGTAACAGTTACAGTCACACTCAAGGATATCCCTTCCAGTTGCAGCTGTCAGGAGTTCCTCCACTGTGTGTGACATTAGATCTTCTTCTGTGGTGTTGGAGCTGCTGCTTTCTCTCATTAGATCTTCTTCGGTGGTGTTGGAGCTGCTTTTTTTCTCTCATTAGATCTTCTTAATATAATAATAATATGCCATTTAGCAGACGCTTTTATCCAAAGCAACTTACAGTCATGCGTGCATACATTTTTGTGTATGGGTGGTCCCGGGGATCGAACCCACTACCTTGGCGTTACAAGCGCCGTGCTCTACCAGCTGAGCTACAGAGGACCACATTTTTCTTCTGTGGTGTTAGAGCTGCTGCTTGCTTTCATTAGATCTTCTTCTGTGGTGATGGAGCTGCTGCTTTCACAGCCTTGATGATCTTCAATCTCACCTTTCATGCTGGAAGACATGGAACCAGGTTTATTATGACTTAATAAACAAACCGATAATGAATAGTTTATCTACTTAGAAACTCTTCATAAATCCTTCATTAAGTATGCCTTCCTATTAATGCCTTACATCATTGCTATATAAATGTTTGTGGTCAGATCCTTAAAAAGGTAGGTGCTGGGCTAATAAAGTATACATAAAAACAGGTATAAAACATTGTGATTAAAGGTGGTAATTCGATACAGACAGTGTGCAGGCCTTTCTGCTGTTTTCAAACTACATCAGTGCATACTATGTATAAACGTATAGTTAACATTATTGCATCACTGGTTACAACATCATTGGTTACACTCATGGTGGACCGATAATACATGAATAAGGATGAACCTCTGAATGGAGGAGAGGAGGTCAGTCATACCCTGTTGGTCTTTCCCGATGACTTAATGTCCAATGGCCGATGAACACCAATACCTTTTATCTATAATTTATATGACAAGGATTGAAAAGGATTTGCCAGTAGATTGTTGACGGGATTCATGATGATGACTGCTTGTCTAGCTTGCTAGCTAAGATTTTGAAAGTAACATGTCCAATCAAAGCTACGGTAGATATAAGTGATTTTACGTAATTTTATATGTGGCCAATGACCTTGAGCCTTCTTGGATGGGCACTCTAATGTAAATCTATGGCAGCACCCAAGGGGGCTTGAACTGCCTAGCTCTCCCTGTAGATTCTGCGGTGACATTTTGTCCCAATGAGTGACAGAACATTGAGCCAATCATGGTGCAACTAGAGAAGATTACCAACACCTACACTCTGTATATTCCGCTGGCTGCCCCTCCACCACAGAAAGCACTGAGCTAGACTGAAACACCTGCATTTTGGAGCTGCCTTACTCAAGAAAGAGAGCATGTTTGTATGCTGCTTTATTAACTCAATATATTTTTTTTTACATTGTTTGCAAACGGATACGTGACATGAATTGATGCCAAAATAACATGCAAAACAGGCAAACCCCCCCGACACCCCCCCCACACCTGTTTTGGGGCTCAAAACAGGTCCTACTGCCTGTATAAAATGGTCCTACATAATTACATTTATTTGAAATGAGAATATTTTGTTTGAATTGTGCTAACTAGTTCTGTAAGTTATATACATCCACATCAGTTTTGAATTTGGGAATTTGTTAACATTTTCTCTACTTCCAGGTACCTATTATATTGGTGCTTGGAAGCATTGGATCCTGTATTGCATGTGGTAGAGCCGAGTACAGAATAGGGGATGAATGTTGTCCCATGTGTTCACCAGGTAAGACCCTCTCTTTACATCATCATCATAGGTTAATAATTGATCAACACCAATAGAAATTCCATACATTGTGATTCTCTCTTCTGCAGGAAATCGTGTATATGAGCATTGTACTGAATTCACCAGCACCAGCTGTGTGCCCTGTGTTGATTCTACATTCCTTGATGAGCCCAATGGTCTCATGAAATGTGCACCATGTTCCAGCTGTGATTCAGGTGAGAGTTGTCCTGTATTTATACAATAGCCAGACTTTAATACTGAGGTAATGTGCTACAGGCTATATCAGATGTGATTTATGATTGACATTTGACTGGCTTAATATGTTTTCTTAAGATAATGAATGCAATGTGTTCTTCATAGGTTTGGGTTTGAGGGTAAAACAGCCATGCAAACCAGAATCAGATGATTTTTGCGGGCCACTGGAGCGGTTCTTTTGTCTGCTCTCTGACAAAGATGGTTGTAGAATAGCCCAGAAACACAGCAGCTGTAAACCTGGTCAATACATCCGTCACACAGGTTGGTCTCCTCTCAAGTATTCAACATGATTTTGTCATGATTTCTAGTGTGCCAAGTTACTCTACTGAATTAAAAGTAGCTGATCGTTTGATTGATTGATTGAAATCATTAGAGAATTAAAAAATAAGTCAAGAAGAGTACATGGGGAAAGTTTAAGTACGATGTTTACAAGTTTGTTTTGGGATGTCTTGTTTTTTAATAATGTAAACGTATGTTTAAACCTCCATTTGTGCAGGAACAACATCTACAGATACTGTGTGTTCTGACTGTACTGGTGATACTTATTCAGATGGATCATTAACAGCCTGCCAGTCACACACAGAGTAAGTGTGGCTTACACAAATAGTTTTTACCCTAAATACAAAGTTACCTAACACACATCTAAAACTGAAAGATGTATGACCAAGTTATAAATGAATCATTAATGGCCAGTATTTATCTGTTTATAGATGTGAATCCTTGGGACTTCAGGAAATGAAACCAGGATCCCCTTGGTCGGATTCAGAGTGTGGACCACAACTATCCCATTCAACAGCTAGAAGCAGTGCTGTGGCATCCATGACAGTGATATTAGCTGGAGCTGTTTACATTTTAGTCATTTAGCAGACACTCTTATCCAGAGTGACTTACAGTAGTGAGTGCATACATTTTCATTAATACTGGTCCCCCATGGGAATTGAACCAACAACCTTGGCATTGCAAACACCATGCGCTACCAACTGAGCTACACTGGACATAGTTTTAATAATAGTGAAAAAAAGAAAAAACTCAGATTCATTTTAGGAATTGTATCTGTTTCTATTGCATCTGTAAATTATTGTTAAGTGTGTGTATGAATTCTTTTTTAGTGTTTGTGTGTGTGCGTACGTGTGTGAGAGTGAGTGAGTGAGTCAGAGAGAGGACCACTGGGCGGCAGGTAGCCTAGCGGTTAACAGCGTTAGGCCAGTAACTGAAAGGTCGCCCGTTTGAATGCCTCAGCCGACTAGCTGACTAAGGTTGCTGTTTGGAATCCCTAAGCAGACTAGGTGGAAGAAAAAAAATTATGTTGATCTGCCCTTCAGCAAGGCACTTAACCCTAAGAGCTTCTGCTAAATTATTTAAATGTACATTTTCTTCATGAAACAGAAACTGAACTGGGAACAAAAGTGATGTCTAGTCTTCTGGAACATAACTGTTATTTACAAATCTTGAAAACCGGTTTATATAATGTTATTTTAAGTTCCAAAAATATTCCTAATGTCTTGTATATAATTATGTAATTCAGTGAAGTTCTGATGCTAGTAATAGCCTAAACACATTCCAATTCACACCATGATGTTCAGTGCTTCAAGCCATGCGCCCTCCATGTCCACCCTCCACTCTCGCTCTCTCCCCACCCGTAAAATGTCAGTCGCATCTCGCAGCCTGCACTAATCTGGGAGCTGAGTTTGAAAGTGTACCATTGAAAACGTGCAATATCATAAATGATCACCATCCACTGTACTCAGATGAAGTGTCTGGAGAACTGGAGCGTGAAGATATCCACAGCACCGTGGATAAAATGAATTGCAAGCACTTCCACTTGAATTTGGACTAATCCAATGTGGATTTATCAGGAGTTGGCTGTATTCAGCCAACGTTACTGGGATCTGTGATCTTGATTCACCTGTTATTTAAAAATCAAATGTGATATGAACAGTCTTTACTTGTGCCTTTTAACAAAACTGGTTTGATGATTGCTTGAATTAAAATTCTATGTAAATTCTATTTAAATGATCTGATACATTTTACATGACTTGTTGTTTTTCTGTACAGTAATTTGTATTGGCACAAAACACTTGTACATTTGTTAATATTGTGAAAATAATCAACATACATTCAGCAAGTGTACCTTATTTTGTAAAAAAAAAAAAAGTTTGCTAAATAAAACAAAATACCTAGGCCACTAGTGAATTGATTCCAGTAGTAGCCTAAATTAATTGACATGTCATTCCACAAGATGGCGGACAAGTGTAACAGTTACAGTCACACTCAAGGATATCCCTTCCAGTTGCAGCTGTCAGGAGTTCCTCCACTGTGTGTGACATTAGATCTTCTTCTGTGGTGTTGGAGCTGCTGCTTTCTCTCATTAGATCTTCTTCGGTGGTGTTGGAGCTGCTTTTTTCTCTCATTAGATCTTCTTAATATAATAATAATATGCCATTTAGCAGACGCTTTTATCCAAAGCAACTTACAGTCATGCGTGCATACATTTTTGTGTATGGGTGGTCCCGGGGATCGAACCCACTACCTTGGCGTTACAAGCGCCGTGCTCTACCAGCTGAGCTACAGAGGACCACATTTTTCTTCTGTGGTGTTAGAGCTGCTGCTTGCTTTCATTAGATCTTCTTCTGTGGTGATGGAGCTGCTGCTTTCACAGCCTTGATGATCTTCAATCTCACCTTTCATGCTGGAAGACATGGAACCAGGTTTATTATGACTTAATAAACAAACCGATAATGAATAGTTTATCTACTTAGAAACTCTTCATAAATCCTTCATTAAGTATGCCTTCCTATTAATGCCTTACATCATTGCTATATAAATGTTTGTGGTCAGATCCTTAAAAAGGTAGGTGCTGGGCTAATAAAGTATACATAAAAACAGGTTAGAAACATTGTGATTAAAGGTGGTAATTCGATACAGACAGTGTGCAGGCCTTTCTGCTGTTTTCATAACTACATCAGTGCATACTATGTATAAACGTATAGTTAACATTATTGCATCACTGGTTACAACATCATTGGTTACAACATCATTGGTGCCTACATCATGATAAGGATGACTATGAATGAGGAGAGAGGTCAGTCATACCCTGGTCTGTTCTCCAGATGACTATGAATGAGGAGAGAGGTCAGTCATACCCTGGTCTGTACTCCAGATGACTATGAATGAGGAGAGAGGTCAGTCATACCCTGGTCTGTACTCCAGATGACTATGAATGAGGAGAGAGGTCAGTCATACCCTGGTCTGTACTCCAGATGACTATGAATGAGGAGAGAGGTCAGTCATACCCTGGTCTGTACTCCAGATGACTATGAATGAGGAGAGAGGTCAGTCATACCGTGGTCTGTATCTACTCCAGGGCCACTAGTCTGTTGTTGCTCTGCAGGTTCAGAGAGTCAATGGTCTCCTGGCAGACCTGGACCTCTCTCCTCAGGCTCCTCTGGGCTTCTCTCTCCACCTTCTGCGCCCGGCTGAGCTGCTTCGTCTGACCTTTCGCCTCAGCTACTTCCTTTTTCCTCTGGGACACTTCCTCCTGCAGCTGGACTACAACCTGGAGGATCGCAATCAGTGGATCGATGACAAATACCCTGTCTTGTTGGCGATACATTATCTAAACCCTTTCTTTAACATTACTTGCCAATCTTTGAGGTTTCTCATTGAAGCATTCCTTGACATAATCAATGCACTTGCCCTAGTCTATTTACTTAGACATCCATGAGCAAAAAGTTACATCCCAAAATGATGTATTTTGGTATCATTAAGAGCTGTGCAAGGCTTTTCACTAAGAACCACATAAAACCCTGACTCAAGCAGAAAGAGGCGTGACCATGTTTCACAATCGAGAGGCAGGGGTTGGAACACTTCTGTTCTGTGGTTAGAAAGAGGATGTTTTTTCAACTTTAAATTCAACTTTCACTTTCAGCTTTTTCCAACCACACACGGTAGATATGCTGTTTTCTATTCTAGTGGACATTACACAGACACACAAGTACTGAGACTTTCTAACCGTGAGTCAGGCTTTCTAACTTTGTCTCTTTGAGAGGAAGTGTAGCGTATAAACAAAGTTATCTGATGAAGTAACAGGAAAGACGTGTCCCTACCTGCCTCAGGGTTCATTCTCCTCCTCCAGCATTATAGTGAGTTCCTCATACTGTCACGTAAACAGGTGAACTGAAAATAAAGGCAGGTTAAAGAGAAGTCACATTCACATTGTGTTTGAAAAACTTTAGGTGTGCTCAATTTAGACACAAAGGAAACAACTGAATAGTCCCAAAAGTGCAACCTCTGCCTCCCGATTAAGATAAATCATGAACACCTGAAATATTCATATAATTTGAAATAGGCTGGGTTTCTGTATAGCACTTTGTGACATCTGCTGATGTAAAAAGGGCTTTATAAATAAAATGTGTTTGATTTATTGAAATACATATTTGACCCAGGTCTGATTCACATATACAGTTATATAGCCTAATCTACAAATCTACACACTCAAAGCATGTTCATACCTTTCTAGACATGGCCTGTTACTGGGCCAACCGGTTCTTCACTACCTTCCTGGACATGGCCTGTTACTGGGCCAACCGGTCCTTCAGCTGCTGTCTCAACTCATCCTGTTGGCCTTTAGCAGAGATCAGCTCTCCTTCCTTTATGGACAGAGTTCTACACAAGGAACTCACTGTACCTGCAGAGTACAAATACAGTATTGATTGGGATAACATACAATAAGAGTGTCACCTTTTATTGACAGGATTGTTCACACCTATCCAAACCTTTCAGTTCTCAGAGTACATAGGGGTTAAGGGGAAAGGGGCAAGGGGGAGATTTGGGATTGGGGGCTCATCCTCCCACAGTTTAGGCTCTAAAGCTGTGTTTGATATTGTATCTCCTCTCCTACACACCAGAAGAGATCACATGATTCTTCCTGGCCTCCTCTAAGTCCCTCATCAGTTGTTCATTGGTTCTCTCCACTTCTCTCATCTGTCCAGTAAGTGATACTGTGTTGCCTTCCTCCTCACTGTCCACAGCATTCTCTGTATGTCTGAAGAGCTGTGTTTGAGGCCATGTTCCAAGACTCAGACAAGGCCACCATGCAAGATTAGATCCGTTTTAGGTCTTATACCAGATGGTAACATTACGTGCAGTCTTTATATCAATTTCAAATTTTAACAAATGATTCATTCCTAACTCTGACAGTGTTAACTAAGGGTTAACCTGCTCTATGTCTTGGTGTTCTGTGAGTTGCTTCTTTGTCCAACAGGGCTCCGAACCCTCCATATTCAACACCCCACCCAGGGCTGGCCTCTCTCAGCCTGTGGAGCTCCTCTTCTAGCCTGGTTATCTGCTGGCTCTTCTCCTGGACCTCCTTCTCCACCTCCCTCAGATTCCTGACCTCCTCTGACAGACGCACTATCAACTCCGCCTTCAATACAAAGAAACACACAGAAATGTATGTGAGATGACCAAGGTTAATATTATTTTCATACAATTTTGTCTTTTCATTCATTTTATTTCATTTTGACAGGTTTTTATATTTAATTCTAGATGTGTGTTGTGCTCTGTTGGTTCTGGTATCAGTTATGGTTTGAACAGTCTTGTAACCTGAAGTTTCTAGTTTGTACTTCATTTTGTTTTAGTTTCCATTTTAGTCAACCTTGAGGGTTCAAAGGCAGCGGGACAGATGGTACTGTTAAAGTTAGAGCACTGCTGTGGTAATCAGTATATGGCTGTATACCCATCAGACTGTATCAAATGGACAAAAGTCACAACTTGTTGTTCAGTACATGTATGAGCTACAATACTATCACAGAAGTCTGAAATATACCGTGCAGAGGAGTCCCTACTTCCTCCCTGACCTCTGGCCACATCCTCATTATGATAAATGGTCAGTTCTGTCAGCTTCTCCTGAAGTACAGAGATCTCTTGGTCTTTCTTCACCTCTTCAAACTGACAGGCAAGTGATTTCCTCACCTAACATCAGTATGTTCTGCTCCTGTAAAAATAGGGATTACAATACTACAACTACAGTCACTACCAACCTCTAATATGGTGCACAGCCCACTGAGCCAACCATAGTGCTAACAACCATCAGATCTGGGCTATCAATAAAGTGGCTACATGGATGTTTTGTTTTCAGACTGATCCCCACCAATCTATAGAAAATGATGTACCTTCTCATGTAGTAGGGTCATGTACCATGGTACCTTCCCCCCTGTGTCCTCAGACATGGTGGTTCTGGTGAAGTTAGGCTTGTTCTGATTACCTTCTCTGGCTGCCCCTGGGTCCAAGCAGACTCAACCTGCCATTTCCTTTGGTGGAGCAATTAACCTGCAGGCTTCAGTTGCATGCAAGAAACATTCATTAACTTTCACTTTATTCATTAAACGTATAGTTTTCTTTTTACACAAGCTGTTTGTTTTACCTCTCCAGAACTAAACAAACGTTCATTTCAATGTTTTGTTTTGACGTGTTATTACCTATGGGCATATGCTTTTATTCATGGCAATTGCAAGGGTTACATTTTAAGTATCATCCATTCAATAAGATAGCAACATGAGTAGTCCTGTCACCTTACACCGGAGGGAGGGGTCAGATTTAGGGATGACTTTGGGATGCTCTGCTGATGCTCTGGAACATGATGGACACTTCTGATTGTCCTCAACTAAAGGCAGATGGACCTTCTCTGTCACGCCCTGGCTCTGGGGACTCTTAAATGTTGAGCCAGGGTGTGGATTGTCTATGTTTAGTTTTCTATGTTTTTTGTTCTAGATCGTTTAGATCTATGTTGGCCAGGGTGGTTCCCAATCAGAGGCAGCTGTAGCTCGTTGTCTCTGATTGGGGACCATACTTAGGCAGCCTGTTTGGCACTAGTCGGTGTGGGATCTTGTTCCGTAAAGGTTTGTTTTGTGTAACCTCAGGACTTCACGTATCATTTGTTTGTTGTTTTGTTCGTGTTGTGTACTACAATAGAAATGTACGCTTATCACGCTGCGCCTTGGTTCCACGAGTCATTAAACGATCGTGACAGAAGATCCCACCAAAAGAGGACCAAGCAGCGTGTCCAGGAACAGACAGCCTGGACTTGGGAGGAGATCCTGGACGGGAAGGGATCCTGGACTTGGGAGGAGATTCAGGCCGGAATGGATCGCCGTCCTTGGGAGGAGACTGTGGAGGCGCACTACAGAGAGGAGCAGCGGCAACACAGAGGGTACCGGCCGAGGAGGAAGCCCGAGAGACAGCCCCAATAAAACATTTTGGGGGGGCTAAAAGGGTGGTTGGCGGAGCCTAGGGTTAGAGCAGAGCCAACTCCCCGTACTCAGGCTAGGAAGTGTGTGACTGGGCAGGCTCCGTGTTATGCGGAGCCACGTACTGTGCCGCGAGTGTTCCGGCACAGTCCTGTACGTCCTGTGCTAGCACCACGCACGTGTCGTGCAAAGATGGGCATACAGCCAGGACGGAGTGTGCCGGCTCAACGCTCGTGGTCTCCAGTACGCCTCCTCGGTCCCGTATATCCTGCGCCAGTGCCACGTGCTGTAGCGCCAGTACGAGTGCACAGCCCCGTACGTCCTGTGCTGATGCCTCACACATATTGTGTGGAAATAGGCATTCAGCCAGGACGGGTTGTGTCAGCTCTCCGCTCCAGACCTCCAGTCCGCCTCCACAGTCCGGCCCGGCCCGTTCCGGCACCCCGCAACAAGCCAGTGGTGCGTGTTCCCAGTCCAGTCCGGCCTGTTCCTGTCCCTCGCACCAAGCCAGTGGTGCGCGTCGCCAGCCCGGTCCGGCCTGTTCCTGTCCCTCGCACCAAGCCAGTGGTGTGCGTCGTCAGCCCGGTCCGGCCCGTTCCTGCTCCCCGCACCAAGCCAGTGGTGCGTGTCGTCAGCCCGGTCCGGCCCGTTCCTGCTCCCCGCACCAAGCCAGTGGTGCGTGTGTCCAGTCCGGCACGGCCCGTGCCTGTTCCACCGGTGCCTGGTCCGGCACCGGTCAGCTGCTCCACTCCGGAGCCAGAGCAATCCGCTCCACCGGGGTCCGGTCCAACTCCAGTCAGCGGATCCACTCCGGAGCCAGAGCAATCCGCTCCACCGGTGTCCAGTCCAGCTCCGGCCAGCGGCTCCAGTCCGGAGCCGGTAAGGTTTGATCCACCGTCGTCGGGTCCAGCTCCAGTCAGCGGGACCAGACCAGGGGCACAACGGGGAGGTGGAGAGAAGGTGGTGGTCACGCCCGGAGCCGGATCCGCCTCCGAGGCGGAATGCCCACCCGGCCCCTACCCTGTTGTGTTTGTGTGGCGCGGTCGCAGTCCGCGCCTTTGGGGTGGGGTACTGTCACGCCCTGGCTCTGGGGACTCTTAAATGTTGAGCCAGGGTGTGGATTGTCTATGTTTAGTTTTCTATGTTTTTTGTTCTAGATCGTTTAGATCTATGTTGGCCAGGGTGGTTCCCAATCAGAGGCAGCTGTAGCTCGTTGTCTCTGATTGGGGACCATACTTAGGCAGCCTGTTTGGCACTAGTCGGTGTGGGATCTTGTTCCGTAAAGGTTTGTTTTGTGTAACCTCAGAACTTCACGTATCGTTTGTTTGTTGTTTTGTTTGTGTTGTGTACTACAATAGAAATGTACGCTTATCACGCTGCACCTTGGTTCCACGAGTCATTAAACGATCGTGACATTCTCTCTCTGACTATTGACTGGATTCCTTGTCATTTCGGTCAGTAAAACAAACTATCAACTAAGAGTGATTAAATGTGAATTGAAAAATGTAATTATTATTGTAGAAAGCAGTGATAGGCGACTTCTATCTTAATAATAATTTAGATGTTAGACGACCAGTACTTATGTTGACATTTTACAAAGATCATATGAGAGAGAAAAAAGTCAATGGGACAATTTTTTTATTTTTATCATATAGTTTACAATATTTATGGTTATTACATAGAAGGTTTTAACATTCCATCTCAATTAATACAGTTTTGCTTTGAGACTGCTATCATAAAGATGAAACACGTTCTCTCTATGGCTGCTAATGTCATAGAGTGGTTGTTCCATAGAAATAAAATGAATTGCCAGGGTTAGAGGTTCCAAGTCCATTATATATTCATTCTATGTAAATTGTTTGTTAGCCTACCACAGAGATCCTATTAAATTATGTATATAATTATTTAAATCTAAACAATCGCGTTTGAGGGACACATTCAGAATGAATGAGATTGAGGTTAATAATTTGGTACACTGTTTAGATTGAGCACATCTAAACGAAATCTACACTTTGTCATGACGACATAAACAGATGGATGTGTTCCAGTCAAGTATGGCCATACCATCTATTGTCTGATTTGGCGATCTGGAGTGTAGGTCATTGTATTAAAAGCGTTATAATAATGTGATAGTGTGTGATCCCATATCTCCAGTGAAGGTTTATATAGCTATGACGCGTTCCTACACGAAGTTAAATCATGTGGAAACATTTTATGTTACCCACCAATAGAATGTAGGCTTTTACCAAATTGACAGGAGTTTCATGACTTATTTTTCTGGGATGGTTTATCAGTTTATCAGTAGCCTCCCACTTTTCGTTATTTGGAAAGTCAAAGTGAAAGAAAAGTACAATAGTCCAAATGCGAACCAAGGCAGGGTAAGATATGGATTATTTGTGTATATGTAGAAATAGCCTTCTTAACATGTTCCGTGCAGTAACTGGAGAGAAAAAAAATATTGATGAATGACTGTATTTGTAATTTGACGACAAGGCTGTTCTCTCCCTGTTTTCTTCAATGTCTGTTCTTCCTCTGGTGACTCAACTGCCTTCTGATTTGAAAGTGCGATGCTGAACTCAGTCGAATTTTACCTGTTCTTGAAAAATGAAAAGCTTTGGCCTTGTCGTTTTCAAGAAATATAATTAAAAGCTTGCTTGTTTGAATCAAAAAAATGGACGAAATATTAGCCTATAGCTATATATTTAGTTAATGGGTGTTATAATAAAGACCATAGGCAGATCTTGAGTTTCAAGTTTGGGGCTCTTACAATTTATTTCCACATATCTGCGTGCCAGTTATTATTATTTTTATATGCACATTTTAATGGAACAGTTTCATTTCAATAATAACGTTTTCGTTTCTCAAAAGTATTGTCACGTGGTTAATCATAAAAATCTGAATTAAAATGATAAAAATCAAAAAGTTAAAATTCAACTAATGGAAAGAGCACCACCCTTTGCCATATGAACACATTCAAATTAAATAAAATCAAGCTTTATTTATACAGCACATTTTAGACAAGGAATGCAATGCAATGTGCTTCACAGGAAAAAAAAACTATAAAGACAATTAAAATAAAAACTGTAATATTTACTAGACAACAAACATAAGAGGATAGAAAACAAAAGAATAACAATAAAACTGAATGTCTAAAAAGCACCCTGAGGAAAAGCAAAGCTACAAAGGTGTGTTTTAAGATCTCTTTTAAATATGTCCACAGATTCGTCCCCCCTCAGGTTCTCTGGCAGGCTATTCCAGAGGCTGGGGGCATAATAACTACAGGCTGACTCTTCATGCCTCTTACATTTTTACACTTTAGTCATATGGCAGACGCTCTTATCCAGAGCGACTTACAGTTAGTGAGTGCATACATTTTCATACTGGCCCCCTGTGGGAATCGAACCCACAACGCTTGGTCATAGGCTTTGGGATAGTTAAAAGGCTGGTGCCACAGGCTCTGAGGGAGCTACTTAGCCTAGCGGTTAAGAGTGTTGGGCCAGTAACTGAAAGGTCACTGGTTTGAATCCCTGAGACGAATAGGTGGAATAAAAATATATTTTAAAAAGTCTGTCTGTGCCCTTGAGCAAGGCTTCTATAAGTCTAAAGGATAGTTAAAAGGCCAGTGCCAGAGGACCTACTGGGTACATAACTCAAAAGCATGTCTACATAATTGTGGATTGATTTAAAAACCAAAAGAAGAATCTTAACATTAATTCTTAAACTCACCGGCAACCGGTGTAATGTGTGATCTTAGGAGAGCATTACTGTAGTCAATACTGATTATAATGAAAGCATGGGTGAGGTTCTCTGTATCAGCCTGAGAGAGAAACGGACGCACAATGGCAATGTTCCTCAGGTGGTAAAAAGCTATTTTGGTCACATTCCCAATGTGTGATTCGTATTTGTATTTGTATTTATTAAGGATCCCCATTAGCTGCTGCAACATTAAGGCAATTATATACTATTTAAAATATTACATGACATTACATTTCATAACACTCTACCCAATACATTTAGTGTGTTCCCTCACGCCACTACTCTACGCATCACGTATCTACAATACAACATCCATGTGTATGTGTGTGTAGAGTTTGTGTCTTATCTTTTTGTGTGTCTGTGCCTGTGTGTCTATTCACAGTCCCCGCTGTTCCATAAGGTGTATTTCTATCTGCTTTTTAAATCTGATTCTACTGCTTGCATCAGTTACCTGATGTGGAATAGAGTTCCATGTAGCCATGGCTCTATGTAGTACTGTGCGCCTCCCATAGTCTGTTCTGGACTTGGGGACTGTGAAGAGACCTTTGGTGGCATGTCTTGTATGGAGGGGTATGCATGGATGTCTGAGCTGTGTGCTAGTAGTTTAACAGACACCTCGGTGCATTCAGCTTGTCAATACTTCTTACAAAAACAAGTAGTGATGAAGTAAATCTCTCTTCCACTTTGAGCCATGAGAGATTTACATGCATGTTATTAATGTTAGCTATCCGTGTACATTTAAGGGCCAGCCGTGCTGCCCTGTTCTGAGCCAATTGTAATTTACAGAGATCTCTCTTTGTGGCACCTGACCACATGACTGAACAGTAGTCCAGGTGCGACAAAACTAGATACTGTAGGACCTGCCTTGTTGCTACTGTTGTTAAAAAGGCGGAGGAGCACTTTATTATGGACAGACTTCTCCCAATCTTAGCTACTGTTGTATCAACATGTTTTGACCATTACAGTTTACAATCCAGGGTTACTCCAAGCAGTTTAGGCACCTCAACTTGCTCAATTTCCACATTATTTATTACAAGATTTAGTTGAGGTTTAGGGTTTAGTGAATGATTTGTCCCAAATACTATGCTTTTAGTTTTTGAAATATTTAGGACTAACTTATTCCTTGCCATCCATTCTGAAACTGACTGCAGCTCTTTGTTAAGTGTTGCAGTGATTTCAATCGCTGTAGTAGCTGACGTGTATAGTGTTGAGTCATCCGCATACATAGACACACTGGCTTTACTCAAGGCCAGTGGCATAACATTAGTAAAGATAGAAAAAAGTAAGGGGCCTAGACAGCTACACTGGGGAATTATGTTGGAGAGGCTTCCATTAAAGAACACCATCTGTGTTCTGTTAGACAGGTAACTCTTTATCCACAATATAGCAGGAGGTGTAAAGCCATAACACATGTGTTTTCCATCAGCAGACTATGAGCGATAATGTTAAAAGCCGCACTAAAGTCTAACAAAACAGCTCCCACAATCTTTGTATCATCAATTTCTCTCAGCCAATCATCAGTCATTTGTGTAAGTGCCGTATTTTTTGAATGTCCTTCCCTATAAGCATGCTGAAAGTCTGTTGTCAATTGAGTTCAGAATCTAAAATAACACCTAGGTTTTTTACCTGGTGTTTTATATTTATTGCCCGTTATTGAGCTTTGGCTCCAACTGTCACGATTTCTGCCGAGGCTGCCTCCCCTCCTTGTACGGGCAGGTTTCGGCGTTCGTCGTCACCGGCTTAATAGCCACTGCCACTCTGCCTAAGGCCAACAAATAAAAACAGTAGAAAATATCCTGATGAAAATGCAGGTTCTTTCAATCGCATTAATCTCTACTCCGCTTGTCTGCCTCTCTTTCTATTGGTCTTGACTTGAGCTATCACTAGTGAAGTGCAACATTATATCAACTCAGGAGGTTGGTGTGTTCAGCCACAGGTGCTCCCTCAACGTTATCAGCACAGAGAAACCACACATGCTCACTGCTCACAAAAAAATGTAAAGACACAAATGATGGCAGACACAATAGGAGTAGTTATAGCAATAGGAGTAGTTATAGCAATAGGAGTAGTTATAGCAATAGGAGTAGTTATAGCAATAGGAGTAGTTATAGCAATAGGAGTAGTTATAGCAATAGGAGTAGTTATAGCAATAGGAGTAGTTATAGCAATAGGAGTAGTTATAGCAATAGGAGTAGTTATAGCAATAGGAGTAGTAATAGCAATAGGAGTAGTTATAGCAATAGGAGTAGTTATAGCAATAGGAGTAGTTATAGCAATATGAGTAGTTATAGCAATAGGAGTAGTTATAGCAATAGGAGTAGTTATAGCAATAGGAGTAGTTATAGCAATAGGAGTAGTTATAGCAATAGGAGTAGTTATAGCAATAGGAGTAGTTATAACAATAGGAGTAGTTATAGCAATAGGAGTAGTTATAGCAATAGCAATCCATCCAAATAGTTATAGCAATCCATCCAAAAAAGCAGTCTGGGACAAAAAGAGCCAGTTATAGCAGGAGCCATATCTCTTTGAAAGCTTTTTTTCCTTTTCTTTCTCTCTCTCCCTCCCTCCCTTCCTTCTCTCTCTCTCTCTCTCTCTCTCTCTCTCTTGCTCGCTGTCTCCCTCCCTCTCTCTCTCTCTTTCTCTCTCCCTCTCTCTCTCTCTCTCTCTTGCTCGCTGTCTCCCTCTATCTTTCTCTCTCCCGCTCCCTCTGTCAAAGTGATTCATTGAAAACGTTTTTATAAAAAAGGAATGGAGAGACTGAGTTGCACAACGAGAGATTAAGGCTGTTTCTAGAACAATGTTCCTTTTGTTCTTGTAACTTGAACCTCCTGCAGTTGCAGGAGAAAATTTAACTTTGAGGAGAGTGAGGCTGCCAGTTGGGGTTCCCAGGGGCGAGGGAGGAGGTTGGCAGGTTCATTTTTTACTACCACTGATCTCTATCTCTCTGTCCTGCACATGGATGGATGTGAGAGCGGATCCCATCCCACACAGATAGAACATAGGTTCTACTCTAGCATCAAGACTAGAGACAAGGGAGGTGGACTCCATAGTAATCAGGGTCTCGCCCTTCTATTTCTGTTCCGTTCCTCGCAGAATGAAAACTGGTTGTCGTGGGTCTTTGAGAAGGTGATCGTGGTCATGGTTTGTTTCTTTGTCTGCCCCATTGTCAACTCCATGGCCCAGAGCTATGCCAAGCGCCAGAAAATCAAAAAGAATAATGTATGCACTAACTGTAAGTCGCTCTGGATAAGAGCGTCTGCTAAATGACGTAAATGTAAATGTAAATGAGTAGTTATAGCAATAGGAGTAGTTATAGCAATAGGAGTAGTTATAGCAATAGGAGTAGTTATAGCAATAGGAGTAGTTATAGCAATAGGAGTAGTTGTAGCAATAGGAGTAGTTATAGCAATAGGAGTAGTTATAGCAATAGGAGTAGTTATAGCAATAGTAGTTATAGCAATAGGAGTAGTTATAGCAATAGGAGTAGTTATAGCAATAGGGGCGGCAGGTAGCTTAGTGGTTAAGAGCGTTGTGCCAGTAACTGAAAGGTCGCTGGTTCTAATCCCCGAGCCAACTAGGTGAAAAATATGTCGATGTGCCCTTGAGCAAGGCACTTAACCCTAATTGCTCATGTAAGTCGCTCTGGATAAGAGCGTCTGCTAAATGACTAAAAATTAGTAGTTATAGGAGTAGTTATAGCAAGTGCATTGCTGTTCTCTCTACTAAATAACCTGGCAGTATTCATTCCAGTCCTAACAAATAATTAATGTCTGGGGGAAAAAAGAACCTGGACACTTAGGAGAAACACGCTGGTGGGCCAAGGATGCTGCTCTGAAGAAGGTCTTTGGATTATTTGGCGACCCACCATATGCAAGAGATGGAGAGTCAATAGCCAACTGTACGTGTCAAGGCCAGAGCATTAACAGAGGCCCTGCTCAAGGTACGAGACAATCCTCACTGCCCAAACATTTCTGTGTATATTTGAGGAAACATACCCTCTCTCCAAGTACCTACAACCCAGTGGCATGGACATCCTGACAGCAGGATGGTATTGGGAACACAAGAGGCTCTGCAAAATAATGTGAGGGACTTCGATGCTGTGAAGAGGGCCACGGAGAGCTTTGTGCAGTGGGCCACTGACAAGCTGCAAGAACAGGACGAAGACCCCAAACAGGAAGTGCAAGCTGAGATGCCTCAGAAAAGAACAAGGAAAGGAAGCCCATGCATGGGGAGTTGGCTCAGGATGAGACTGACAGAGATGCAGAGAGGGTCTACAAGACTAAGGTGCACTTTGTCATCACAAGGCACTTTGTACACATGCTTTGCTTATCTGGACCCCAGCAGGTTCTCAGAGATAAAATATAATGGATTGCCCCAGACATCACTTGCTAAACTAAGCAAACTCTTGCTTCAGTTTGCCAGCCGAGCAGCTGTCAGCACTTTGCAGTGTGAGTTGACCAGTCTTGCCGGTCAATGGGAGAGCGTGAAAACATCAGCAGTGGAGAAGGACACAACCAGGAATGTGAGTGAGATACCAGCGGATGGACATGATGAAGAACAAGTGGAGAGGATGAATAAAAGTTCATGTAAGAACTGTGCTGTATGTTGTTATCAACTTCTATGGTGGTACATCTTGTTGACAGAGGCTTACCATGTTATAGGCCTGGGGTACAAGTTCCTACTCACCCTGTCTGTCATCCAGGTAACCTGTGAGAGGAGCTTCTCTACTCTCAAATTCATAAAACATCGACTCAGGAGCACCCTGATCCTACGATCACTTGGAGGCATTATGCTGATGACAACTGAAAAGGAAATCCTTATGGTCCTGGATACAGATTATGTCATTGACAGGGTGACAGAGAAGAGTGAACTGCTGTGACGCCAGCTGACAAAAGGGTAGGGAGGGCAGAGAGACAGCAGAGGAGAACAAGAAGAAACAGAGACAGACAGACAGACAGACAGACAGACAGACAGACAGACAGACAGACAGACAGACAGAGTGACAGACAGCAGAGGAGAATCACAGACAGGCAGACAGACAGACAGACAGACAGACAGACAGACAGACAGACAGACAGACAGACAGACAGACAGACAGACAGACAGACAGACAGACAGACAGACAGACAGACAGACAGACAGACAGACAGACAGACAGACAGACAGCAGAGGAGAATCACAGACAGAGAGACAGTGACAGCAGAGATGCATAGACAGACAGCACGACAGGGAGAAAACAGACTCAGAGGCCCAGTTATAGTGGTGAGTTGTATCTCCAGACTCCAGTGATGTCTTAACATGTATTTGTTTTAAACATGATCTGGTTAAAAATGGAGGAAGACCATGTTTCTTCAGTCACTGGTATACACAGCAGGTTAGGAGAGTTAGGTTAAGGTTAGGAAATGGAGTTAGGGTTAGCGAAAATGCTCTCCTAACCTGCTACAAAAATCACTTCCGGTCATAGCTGTATCAAGTGTCAAAGATGGCAGCATTCTCTAATAACTACTTGCCTAATTCTGTTTCATACTTCTCAAAGTTGATAACTCGCTTATTTGTTTTTTTTGTCAGTGATGTCAATTTACAAATTGAAAGGAATATATTGACATCTATTAAAATACATTAATTCTACAGGTCAGTTCATCTCCATACTTCAAAACTCCTAAGAACTTCATAAATCCAGTGTGTGGGTCTTCCAGTGAGTTGGAGAGGATTGAGGAACCATGGCACAGTTTGAAACCTTGATATGGACTGTAAGTGAAACATTTCTGATTTGCACATTTTGTGGCTTGGCATGTTAAAAAAAAAAAAAAAAAGTGATCAATGTAAATATGTCCTTTATGAAATATGAATCAGTTATTAGCCAACTAGTTTTAGTTAACATTTGACTGAGAGACGTACATTTCACTAACATTTATTGACTGAATTTGCAGATAACAGGTTATCTTGGGTTTGGTGTCATCTTTAAATGTAATGTATGCTGATGCTGATGTTTTATTTCTTCTCTATTTGCAGATACCTATCACTTTTATACTTCTAAACATTGAACCCTGTTTCACATATGATCGCCTCATCTATAAATTAGGCGATAGAGATTGCATAATGTGTTGGCCTGGTAAGGACCTTGTGTATTATTATGAGGGGTTAATTATAATAATAACAACAATAATAATAATAATAACAATAACAATACCAACATTTAATTATTTTCTGGGGGGGGTTTTCAACAGGATATCGTGTATATAGTCATTGTACTAAATCTACACGTACACCTTCCTGTGTGCCCTGTATTAACTCCACATTCCTTGATGAGCCCAGTGGTAAAACAACATGCAACAACTGTACCACATGTGATCCAGGTGAGAATTATGTGTTCTGGGCATAAACACTGAGCTACTTTACTATATCAGCTGTTGTTTTAATGAAATACAACAGGTTTTACATTTAGCTTCAGATACCAAGTGACATGTTTTCTCCATAGGTTTGGGTTTGATGGTAAAGCAGCCATGTAGACTTTCATCAGACACTGTCTGTGGGACACTGGAGGGGTTCTACTGTCTAGACCCAACTAAGGATGGTTGTAGAGCAGCCCAGAGACACAGCAGCTGTAAACCTGGTCAATACATCAGCCACACAGGTTGGTCTTCTGTCTCACTCATTATACTAATTGTGTTGTCATAATTCAATTGAGTCAAGTTGTTAACTTCAGTGTGAATAATCATTAACAGTTAATGGAATTAAATAAATGGGGGGGGGGGACGAATACAATTTGTAATTAATATTTCAACATATATTTGTGCAGGAAATACATCTACAGATACTGTGTGCGCTGACTGCCCTGGTCATACTTATTCAGATGGATCATTAACATATTGTCAACCACACACAGAGTAAGTGTGGACATGATTAGTTAGCTCAAATGGTTAAGATATAAAAATACAATCATTATCCTCAAATAGAAACTTAAAAAAACATACCTCTATTTATGTCTTTGACATAGATGTGAATTCTTGGAAATTGAACCAGGAACTCCTTGGTCGGATTCAGAATGCGGAGTAATCTCACATCCCACAGCTGGAACCATAGCTTGTGTTCTGATATGTTTCCTGATAGCCACCATAGCTGGTGTTTGTTTATTTATAGTGAGAACAAGATACATGGTGAGAAGAAGAGAAATAGTGTGAACAAGACAAAACTTTGGTAAGATTACTGGAGTTTTATCTGTACCATTCATTGTTTTCAAAGCCTGTGATACTCAGTATATTCTGTGAATGCTACATGTTCTATTTCTCATAGTGTAGATTACTGTTTGTTAACGTCATGGTTACACAGTATGTTTATTACAATATTGGACATCTGACTTTTTTATAGGCCCTCAAATACTGACACAGGTATGTTTGGAAATCTATGAATATCTTTCATCACATTGTGTTACTAAGTCATCTTTTTAGCTGTGAAATTTGAATTTAATGGGCCATTTTCCCAGACAATAGATGTTATGATGAGTTTCTGGTATTTAGAAGTGAGGATGCAAGAATATACTTAGACACTTAGGTGGGGAGTTCATATAAGTATTTATTTGATCACGGGCCCGTGCATTGGCATAACAAACGGCGATAGCTTTGCCCCATGTCATTCCAACTACCACACAGAAATCTCTCAGCCCTTTATACTCTCTCAGTTACGCGTTTCTTCAACCACATCTGGCCATCGTCAATGCACACTACCCATTCTATGTCATGACCTCGTAGCCCTAAGCAGGACGTTCCCTCCGTACATCGTTCTATTATAAACACCGCTATCCTCCCTGGACAGATTGAAATGTCCTGCTTCAGACTCCGTGGCACCAATAACCACTCCTTCTTACTAACTTTAACCTAGTTATACACAGCCATATGAAATGACATCATAATAACATCATAACAATAGACCTCCATTGAATGTGCTTCTTTGTCCAGGACTGGGCTTAATCTCTGTCCGGGATACTGGCCCAATGTGTTTGACTAATTACTGATTCTATCTGATAGACATCCCCAGATCAGGAAATATCAATGCTGTCTGTGGGAACTTGAAAAGGTAAGGCACACCTTCAAGATTTTCTATCTATGTATATGGAATAGTTTTTATGAGTTAAAAGAATTTCAAACATATTTATAAGTAAATGTATATGATATATTACTTAATCAAGTCATCAATGCTATGACAAATGATATGATCCAAGAATATAGGACTCTGGATACAAGCAATTGTTCTACAAATCATTGTCCAGAACGTAATTGAATTACTGATAAATTATTAATGAATTCTCTCCCCAGATTCAAGCCTCCATCACTGTCAAGGACTCAACATTCTGTAAGCTGTGGTCCACTGGCTGGCTGGTCCAGCCATCTATAGTGTATTTTAACACTACATGTTAAATGTGATATTGTAGAATCTGGTTGGTATAAAAACAGGATTCTATACCACATTCAAATAATATGACCTTTGGGTAGAGGATCACTGTGCCTTGACAATGACTATTATGTGGCTTAGTGTATGAATCATATACATTAGCTTCCACCCACACTGGAACACGTGTATCAGCTTCTGCCTACAGCCTGTTCTAAAATGAAAAGGACCATGTGATGAGGATTAGGAACCAGCATCGGTAGGTGAGAACCCTCTGCTCTGTCCAGGGGAAAGTCAAATATGTTCATAACTTCAGGATCACAACGTCTGTCAGCCCATACTATGGAACTCCAAATGGGACTTGATAATATCTTGAGACACAGATTACTGGATACTGGTGGTGCAGGATGCAACGTTAGCTTGGGGAAGATGCCCCAGAAATGAGAAACATCGTCAAAATGATGGGAAGGAAAATTCAAATAGATAACTTTACACTACAAGGACATCAACATCACACTCATAGAAGCAGACAAGGACATCAACATCACGCTCATAGAAGCAGACAAGGACATCAACATCACGCTCATAGAAGCAGACAAAGACATCAACATCACGCTCATAGAACCAGACAAGGACATCAACATCACGCTCATAGAAGCAGACAAAGACATCAACATCACGCTCATAGAAGCAGACAAGGACATCAACATCACGCTCATAGAAGCAGACAAAGACATCAACAAGCAGATACAACCTCACTATGGACTGTATGGATCACAGAAGCGTGGAAAATACAACATTTCGGAACTATCCTGAACTGCTTCCCCTCCTATCTCACATATAGGTGAGAATAAGTATTGTAGAAGAGTGCAGGTCCACTCAGTCACCTGTGGTGTCCCCCACCCTGGTCATCCTCTCCGTACTTCCTCTCAGTTATGTTAATCAGGTGACTTAGGGTCCTCTTCCACAGTTTTTCGGATGACATGCATGTCTACATCTAAACGGCCCCTAATCCCTCAAAGTACAGGCTTGGTTGAAGCTCTATATTCTACATGTGAGCAGACGCAAAACTGAAGCCATACCAAGTTGGCACAATGTTTTATTCTTTTATTTAGATTTGTTTGCCATGGGGCAGAGAGAAAACATTTCTGTTTTATAGCTAATCATGTTATTCTACACATTTTGCCATGAGGCTGAGACAACATTTAGCCTTATTAATGCTAATTTCCTGTTTATAAAAAATCATGGCAAATGACGTGTTCATATGCTATCTGTGGATCCTGACCTCCGGGGGGACCCTAAACAAAAAATACAATATATACTGTATACTGTGTATATAAATATTATTAAATTTTCTGTTCAGGGCCCCAAATAATTTGTGGAGATACAATGACTATTGGATTCATAGCCTACCTGTCCTCAAAATGTGAAGTTATCACATTTACTATGTCCTAGTTAAACTGAAGAGGCTAGTTGACTAGAGGAGAAATTTAACAGCTGGTTACAAAGAGATAATTATATTTTTGGCACCATGTTGTCAGAATGGTGTAGGTGGATGATAGGAATCAGGCGCAGGAAACCAGGAGGACGTCAACAGAACTTTACTAAGTCCAAACACAAGTATAAGTCGCCAACCCAACCGGGTGGCGCGAACAATTACGCACGAAAATACACAGTGCGGAAAAACAAGAAAAAGCGCACACAGTGCGAGCTCTCGTAAAAATACAACACAACGAGAGAACAAACTCGAAGAGGCAGGCTGACATAAACAATCACGCATAACACCTGACCCAAACAAACAAACTAAATAAGGGGAACAATCAAGACACAAATAAGGGACAGGTGTTATGAACAGACAAAACCAAAAGAACAAGAAACATCGAACGGTGGCAGCTAGTACTCCGGAGACGACGACCGCCGAAGTCCGCCCGAACAAGGAAGAGGAGCAGCCTCGGCCGAAACCGTGACAGTACCCCCCCCTTGACGCGCGGCTCCAGCCGTGCGCCGACCCGGAGCTCGAGGACGACCCGGACGACGCGGAGCAGGGCGCGCAGGATGACCCCGATGGAAATCGGTCAGTAGGGACTGGTCTAACACGTCCCTCCTTGGCACCCAGCACCGCTCCTCCGGACCGTACCCCTCCCACTCCACGAGATATTGAAGACCCCCCATCCGGCGTCTAGAATCCAGGATGGACCTCACGGTGTACGCCGGAGCCCCCTCGATGTCCAACGGGGGCGGAGGAGTCTCCTCAATCTCAAAGTCCTGGAGTGGACCAGCTACCACCGGCCTGAGGAGAGACACATGGAACGAGGGGTTAATATTTTTGTAGTCAACAGGTAGTTCTAACCTATAACTCACCTCGTTCAATCTCCTCAGGACTTTAAACGGCCCCACAAACCGCCGACCCAGCTTCCGGCAGGGCAGGCGGAGGGGCAGGTTTCTGGTTGAGAGCCAGACTCGATCTCCAGGTGCGTACACTGGCCCCTCACTGCGGTGTAGGTCGGCGCTCGTCTTCTGTCGACGTATGGCACGCTGCAGATGGACGTGTGCAGCGTCCCACGTCTCCTCCGAGCGCCTTACCCACTCATCCACAGCGGGGGCCTCGATCTGGCTCTCATGCCATGGTGCCAGCACCGGCTGGTACCCCAACACACACTGAAACGGGGTTAGTTGGGTGGAGGAGTGGCGAAGAGAGTTCTGTGCCATCTCGGCCCAGGGCACATATCTCGCCCACTCCTCCGGCCGGTCCTGACAGTATGACCTCAGAAACCTACCCACATCCTGGTTGACACGTTCAACCTGCCCATTACTCTCCGGGTGGTAACCCGAGGTAAGGCTTACCGACACCCCCAACCGTTCCATAAATGCCCTCCACACTCTAGAGGTGAACTGGGGGCCTCGGTCAGACACTATATCCTCGGGTACCCCGTAATGCCGGAAGACATGGGTGAACAGAGCCTCAGCGGTCTGTAGGGCAGTGGGTAGACCCGGCATGGGAAGGAGACGACAGGCCTTCGAGAACCTATCCACAACGACCAGGATGGTGGTATTCCCCTGTGAGGGGGGAAGGTCGGTAACAAAATCCACCGAGAGGTGGGACCAGGGTCGTTGTGGAATAGGCAGGGGTTGTAACTTACCCCTGGGCAAATGTCTGGGCGCCTTACACTGGGCACACACCGAACAGGAGGAGACATAAATCCTCACATCCCTAGCTAACGTTGGCCACCAGTACTTCGTGCTAAGGCAGTGCACTGTCCGGCCGATACCCGGATGGCCAGAGGAGGGGGACGTATGAGCCCAACAAATGAGGGGATCGCGTATCTCGAGCGGAACGTACGTCCGACCCACAGGACACTGAGGAGGACTCGGGTCGGTGCGTAACGCCTGCTCGATCTCCCCATCAACCTCCCACACCACCGGAGCAACCAGACAAGACTCCGGTAGTATGGGCGTGGACTCAACTGACCTCTCCTCTGCGTCATACCGCCGGGACAGAGCATCTGCCTTCCCGTTCTGGGACCCAGGGATGTATGTGATCTTAAACACAAACCGGGCCAGGAACATAGTCCAACGAGCCTGGCGAGGATTCAGTCTCCTAGCTGCCCGGATGTACTCCAGGTTACGATGGTCAGTTTGAATGAGGAAAGGGTGTTGAGCCCCCTCGAGCCAATGCCGCCACACCTTTAGGGCCTGTACCACGGCTAACAGCTCCCTGTCTCCTACGTCATAATTCCGCTCCGCCGGACTGAGCTTCTTAGAGTAGAACGCACAGGGACGGAGTTTAGGTGGAGTACCAGAACGCTGGGAAAGAACGGCCCCTATCCCGGCCTCTGACGCGTCCACCTCTACTTGGAACGGTAAAGAGGGATCCGGATGCGCCAACACCGGCGCCGAGGTAAACAGGTCCTTCAGTCTCCCAAATGCCCTGTCCGCCTCAGCTGACCACCGCAAGCGCACCGGACCCCCCTTTAACAGAGACGTTATGGGAGCTGCCACCTGTCCAAAACCCCGGATAAACCTCCGGTAGTAATTCGCAAAACCCAAGAACCGTTGCACCTCCTTCACAGTGGTTGGGGTCTGCCAATTACGCACAGCTGACACCCGGTCTACCTCCATCTTCACCCCTGACGCAGATAACTGGTAACCCAGAAAGGAGACCGACTTCTGAAAAAACAGACATTTCTCTGCCTTGACATATAGGTCATGCTCCAACAGCCTCCGCAATACTCGGCGCACCAGGGCTACATGCTCAGCACGGGTAGGACTATACACCAGAATGTCGTCGATGTACACAACCACTCCCTGTCCCTGCATGTCCCGGAAAATCTCATCAACGAAGGATTGGAAGACTGAGGGAGCATTCATCAACCCATATGGCATGACTAGATACTCGTAGTGCCCGGAAGTCGTGCTAAACGCTGTCTTCCATTCATCGCCCTTTCGGATGCGCACCAAGTTATATGCGCTCCTAAGATCCAATTTTGTAAAGAACTGCGCACCGTGCAGTGACTCCGTCATAGTCGCAATCAGAGGAAGTGGATAGCTGTACTTCACTGTGATCTGATTGAGACCGCGGTAATCAATACACGGCCGCAGACCTCCATCCTTCTTCTTCACAAAAAAGAAACTTGAGGAAACGGGTGAAACGGAGGGCCGTATGTATCCCTGTCTAAGAGACTCAGAGATGTATGTCTCCATAGATTTTTTCTCCTCTTGAGACAAGGGATACACATGGCTCCGCGGGAGAGCTGCGCCTGACTGGAGATCTATCGCACAATCCCCCCGTCTATGAGGCGGCAGCTGCGCAGCCCTAGTCTTACTGAACGCCAATGCCAAATCCTCATACTCGGGGGGAATCTGCAGTGCTGGCATTAGATTCGGACTCTCCACCGAGGTCGCCCCTATGGAAACACCCAGACACCGCCCCTCACATTGAGCAGACCACCCTTTAAGAGCTTTCTCTCGCCACCCAATAATAGGGTCATGAGTCATCAACCAGGGAAGACCCAGCACCACCGGATACGCAGGAGAGTCAATCAGATAAAGCTGAATTCTCTCCTCATGACCCTCCTGCGCCATCATCTGAAGTGGTGCTGTGACTTCCCTAATCAACCCAGACCCTAACGGACGGCTATCTAGGGCATGGACGGGGAAAGGCTTATCCACTGGAAGGAGGGGAATCCCTAACTCTAAACAGAACTGGCGATCTATAAAATTCCCAGCTGCGCCTGAATCTACCAGCGCCTTATGCTGGGAACGAGGTGCAACCTGTGGGAAACAAACAGGCAAGGTTAGGTGCACGACAGAAAGCTCTGGGTAAGCAGGGCGCCTACTCACCTGGGGGGACCCCCCAATGCTAGACCTGCCATCTCCTCCCCTGGAGGACCCGCCCCAGCACCTAGCCGCAGTGTGCCCTCCACGACCACAGTTGGTGCAAGGGCCGGGTCCCCGTGGGCTCCTCCTCCTCCTTTCCCTAGCGCCAGCACCCCCGAGCTCCATAGGACTCGGCTCGGAGGCGCTGGAGAGTGGAATGGGCGAACCCCCCCCTCCGGGACGCCCACGGGTGGCGAGCAGGGTATCCAGCCGGATGGCCATGTCGACCAGTTGGTCGAAAGTTAACGACGTGTCCCTGCACGCCAACTCTCGCTGGACGTCCTCTCGGAGGCTGCAGCGGAAATGGTCAATAAGGGCCCGCTCATTCCACCCTGCATCCGCCGCTAGGGTCCGGAACTCTAAGGCAAAGTCCTGTGCGCTCCTCATCC